ATCAAAAATAACGAAAATACAGTTGATGATGATCTGGGCAATGTTGAATCAGCAACAGATGACAGCAACAATGGAAAGTTTATTAGAACATGCAAAAAAAATTTTTTGGGTTGTAAATTTTATTTTTATTAAATAAAATTTGTTTGATTTTTCATACATTGTTCATTTTTCGTCACAATCATTTATCTTAAATTTGTTGTGTTTACAATCATTCCATTTTGACATTCATTATATTAAAGTTATTTTGATTATATGGTCAAGAGAAGAGTTAGGAAGAGAGTTATTCTTCGACCAAGTCAAAAAACAACTCTTTAAATACATTTTTGAGTAGTACAATTTAGTTTATTAGACTATTTCAATGGTTTGTCACCAACTTTTAAATTCGTTAATGAAACAATTGTTGGTGAAGTGATTGTTGACAAATGAATCAAACCCATATTTATTTCTACATTTATCAAATTCGTGATTTTAATTGGTCCATCAACAAATAGCATGGGTTAAAATTTTGTGTTCCCTCCTGTTAATTTTTGTGTTTTATGCAAATGACAATTGGTTTGCATGTAGATCATTCCCAAATTGAAACACTTACATTCAAATTATAAAAATACAGATCTTTCACTGAAGCCATTATGATCACGTTATTTATGAGATTGTGTGACCTAAGATTTTCTGTTATCCCCACCTCCTAAAATATTAGCTAATATATGTCAGTGCCCTTATTATATTAATGTTATCTGTAATTCTGAACATGGGTCCCACCCAATTGACTGACAGACATTATATCAACAGCCGTTATACCAACAGGACATTTTACCAACAGGACATTATACTGACAGGACATTATACTGACAAGTCATTTCATAGTGCAATTAATCAATCTAGCCATCTAATAAATGGCTTAACCACTTAAACAGCCTAGCTGTCTAATAAATGGTTTAACAAACTTGAACAGCTTAGCTGGCTAATAAATGGTTTGACAGCTTAGCCGGCTAATCAGCTAACATCATCAGATATATTAATATATATTATATGTGCCATTTCTTAATGTTAATGGATAATGATAATGAACTGATATGGTTATGTAGGAAAACAAAGAAATACAGTCAACCCCTCTAAGTGCACCCTCCTTGGGAACATATTATTATTTCTCATGAACGTGCATTTAGAGAGGGTGTGCATTTAGAGGGGATAATTTTATAAGCTCACTATAAAGTTTGTGAATGAGACATGGCGTGCATTTAGAGAGGGTTTACATAGTGAGTGCATTTAGAGAGGGCACACTTAGAGGGGTTGACTGTATTATGCTAAATTGATAGAATATATTAGAAAATGACTTGTCAGTATAATGTCCTGTTGATATAACATCCTGTCAGTATAATGTTTTGTCAGTATAATGTCTTGTTGGTATAATGTCCTGTCGGTATAACAGCTGTTGGTATAATGTCTATTGGTCGATCGGGGTAAACCCCTGAACATTCAGGAAAACACTAACTGATTGTCATTTGCACAAAAAATTGCATTACACTTTTTGTCTACAGGATTAATTCTCACATTCTCATATATATAAATGCTATAATTAATCATTCTTTATCTGATATACATTTCCTTAAATATATTTTGTCAAAAAGAGGCCACTTTTG